GCTAAAGTAATGAGACTTGATCAGATCTCAATAGGGACTCTACTAATATGAAAGTCCAAGGCTTAAGCACTAATTTGAAATAAAATCACAAATCTGATATTCTGTCGCCGGGACTTCAAGCGAGGGTCTCATACTCCCCCATTGGAGAATTTAAACTCCACACAGACCACATGGGAAGTTTTAATCATCTCTGATGATGGCAGATTTGGAGATGAGAAAAGTCTCCCGTAATGTATTCATTATGTAACAATATTAGGGAGTTCTCAAAGTCACTGGCGTAAAGACCTTGGGATATAGGAGGGATTTTCACAGACACTGTGATCTTTAACTAGCTGCCTATGGATAAATACCAGTGACCATACAGTGAGGAGGATTGTGGAGAATTTAATCTCTTTCCCTATGTTTTGTCTGACTTTTTACCATCCAACAAATGTCAAAAAAGCCCAAAAAGCCTTTAAAAAGAACATTGTTTCATCTCAGTATATTATTATCCTCAAAGTTGCTCAAGCTTATTTTTTTACTTATGCATATCCCTCAAGTTAAAAAAATATATAGTGATATAGATTGATGGTAGCAATATAGGAGTTTAGTTCATATTTAAATATACAGAATATAATGTCTATTGCTTATGAAGTATTAACATAACTCATTGTCATAAGTAAGTACAATAAAACAGTTACAGTAGCTGGATTTGAGGATATATCATTACCTTCACTTGGTTCAACAGTAATGATGATAATATTCAAAATGCATAGAATATCTGCTCCTTTCTTAGTAATAATTATTCATTAAGTCCCTCTTGCACTATGGACGAGTTAACATACAGACTTTTACCAAACTATTGAAATGTGTTGGACCTGGTTGAAGCGCTGCAATTCACACTTATTATTGTCTCAGTCCTGTGAAACGTATTTTATTTCCCTATAGTCACACTGAACCTAGTGGCGTATCAAGATAAAAAGAGTCATTTTAATTCAGTGTTGCAATAATGGCTGCCCCATTGCTTATAATTGTTACCATCCATTAGCCATGCTCTGGATGAGTTAACTGCATAAAAGACCACCTTTAGCTCCATGTTACAATAGGTTGGATGATGTATATACTGCAGAGTGTGTGGGGGAGGCAGTGAGAGGGGGGGGGTGGGTGTGGGTCTGTGCTAAGGCAGAACCACAGAGTATCTGAAAGTAGGAAAGACACTGTACTCTACACAACCATATGTATTGTAATATACACATTATTTAATAGTACAATAATAATAATAATAATAGCTTGCATTTATATAGCGCCTTTCAAGGGACCCAAGGTCGCTTTACAAGTAATATAGCAAAAACAAACATAACAAACAAAAGTCAGACAGACAAAACAACAGATCGATTAGGGGCCGAAAGCCTTGGCAAACAGATGGGACTTGAGGGCCCTTTTGAAGGCGTCGAGTGTGGGGATGTTGCGAATCTCCGCAGGGAGAGCGTTCCAGAGGGTGGGGGCTGCCACACTGTAGGCTCTGTCCCCGAAGGTTCGCAGTTTGGTGCGGGGGGTGGTAAGCAGGCCAGAGTCTGAGGACCGCAGGTTCCGGGGTGGGGCATGTGGGCGAAGGATGTCCGATAGGTACTGGGGGGCAAGGGCATGGAGGGACTTGTAGGTAAGGAGGAGTACTTTGTACGATATACGGGACTTGAGTTGACCGGCAACCAGTGTAGGTGGATGAGGGTGGGAGTGATGTGCTGCCACGGCTTTGTGTGTGTGAGTACCCTAGCAGCACAGTTTTGGACATACTGGAGCCTGTCCAGGTTTTTTTGGGAACCCCGAACAGGACACCATTGCAGTAGTCCAAGCGGGTGGTGACAAATGCATGCACTAGGGTTTCGGCAACCGACTCCGAGAGTGACGGTCGGAGTCTGGCAATGTTCCTCAGGTGGAAAAAGGCCGATTTGGTCACAGATTTGACGTGGGAATGGAAGGATGGAATGTGCACGTTTTTTATTTAACTTCTTATTTGTATACAAATAGTTGAATTATATTTTATATTTTCTTCTTATGGACATTTTCATTTTACTTCTTATATTTATTTGAATTTATTTAAGTTGATATTTTTTTGCGTTTCACTTCTTATGTTTATTGAATTTTATTTTGTATTTATATAGTATTTATTTAATCACAAAACCCAATTTTGCTCAGGATAAAAAAAACATGTTGATTCACAACTCACTCATCTTAAATAATCAAGTCAGGTGATAGCTCTTTAGGGGTGAAAGAAATATTAACACACTTTTATATTGAAATGTGACCTTTGCCTTATTTTTTTCTTATTAAAAGCGTCTTTGCTTACAGACACACAATGAATCACAATATATTGAGTTGTAACCCCTCGTATCGCCACATTCTTGCAGATACACAGCCCTGATGTATATATAAATGTGTTTGCATGTGTGTACTGTAACTATGTCTGCCTCCTGCTAATCTAACACAGGACTCATATAACACAGTGCTAATGAAAAGGGGCTTTGATTTGGATGGAAGTTTTGAACCACAGGCCCACACACACACTCACAGTCATGCACGGGGTGAAGAGTTCAACCCCTGTCTGCTTCCTTAGAAATAACCCCTCTTTCCCCTGATAATTACTCAAGCACTTATTCATGTACAGTCATTTGCGTGTATATAAATATTTGTTTAATTTTGTGTGCTGATGGGTAACAATTCAATTTGTGATGTTGATGATAAGAGTAATTGATGTGTCAGTTTTACATTCTACTATAAATATCACATTACAATGGTTTGACTGGAGTTTGAACATTTGTCAAACTAAATATCACAGACCAGTGGACCTCACACAAACATGATAGAGTTTTTGTTCACATGGAATTATCTTTAGTACATCTGCCAACAACATGTTTGGACAGACTCCCCACTGCTGCACACAGGAGACCGTTACAAAGATGTTTGGCGCTAGATATATTCTTATACTTATCCAAGATGGTTTCAAGTGTTACAAGAATTGGAATGGTCCCTGAACAAGCAAAGAGGTGTGTAGAAGTGCACAGCTTTAATACTTAAAAGTGAAAAAAATATCAATACAGTCATAAATAAGTAATCATAATGTAAAATGTATGAAAAAGCTATTAACGTTGACATGAAACCACCATTTAACTGGGTCATCTCGCCAATTATTCAGACTTAGTGACAGCTCTATTCTGCTCTCCTGAGTAGACATGGGACGATTCGAAAATAATGTCACAATTATTCTGTCTCAAATCATTTCTATTCACGATATTTAACTTAATCATCAAAATATGCTTAAAACTCTCAAAATGGCTACAACAAACTAGAATTATTAAGAAACACAATTATTTGTTTAGCCTATCCCTTTGCTGTTAAAGTGTAAATGTCCCCGCTGTAGGGTGAAACAAGTATTTATGATTCATATTTTGATTGCATCAAATATTCTCATGGTCCTTGTTTTTACTTTCCTGTTTTATGTTGAAGATTTTACTATAGCTGCATCTCACTTCGGTTAAATGGATTCCTTGCGTCCCTCACTTGCGTTGTTTCCCTGCGACCAGGGAAGCATGGAGAGACGCAAGGAAACCACGAGAAGCAGAGCAATGGGACGTTGTTTCCTCCGAAGCGACGTTCGTTTGTGATGACGCCGCACAGCTGATCGTCTGACAGCAGCCAGATCAGTGCATGCGCTGCATCGTCCAATCAGTGAGCGATACACAGTAAGGGGGCGGGGCGAGTGGCTGAGGATTTCACCGGAGTATGGTCTGGTAGTTCCTCAATTATCGCTCCTCCGTTATCTCTCCTCGATCCTCGGTCCTCCGGCAAAAATAAGGCCACTGGGACGCTACTCAAGATGGCGCAGACAAATCAACTTCCGGTGATACCGAGCCCGAGGAGCGAGGAAATGAAAAATAACCGAAGTGAGACGCACCCTGTGGGTGTTTCTCAATCGCGAGTACGCTTGCTTGGTAGCACATGTCTTCCGAGTCACTTCCTTCAGAAGCTAGGCAAGAATCCTTCCTGGCATTCGGAAAACGAAGAGTGGAACAGGCTAGCAAGTGTGCAGGTGTGCGTCATATGAGAGGCCCCGCCTTACATTTTCCACCACAGATTTGGGGAAATTGGTCCGTGCGCAAAGCATTGTGGGGATTTTAAGGACGCGAAGTCTACCCATGTGCAGCGTCGAAATTTCCCCCAAACCAAGGACGCGGCCTCGGTGGAATTCCAAGTATGCTGGACATTGGAACGGTCCTGCTGCGCCACTTGATGACGTAGCATCCTTGAAATATTGGCTTGGAAGCCAGTTTCCTCGAGATTGAGAAACGGCCTGTGTGTTTCATGTCTGTTCTTACTTCCTGTGTGTTCTCCCGCCTGCTTGATTGTCTCTCCTGGCTTTATTAGTTTCACCTGTTTCCCATCAGCCCTGCACACCTGCACTGCATACCCTCATTAGTTCTGCTTGTACTTAAGTCCTCGTTTTCTCTTAGTCTTTGTCAGGGCTTTGTATGTCGTGCAACACTTAGTGAAGCGGTTTCTCGCTGGATTACATGAAGCCAAAGGTAGTTTCTGTTAATTCTACCTGTCTCCTGCATTTGGGTCCACCCTGCTCCACACAAATAAATGATAAAACAAGGTAATCAAAAATCAAATAAAGGATGACGACATAAAAACAAAAGCAATATTATGTGAGTCTGTTGTTTCTTACATGTTGGTTCCTTTTATATTTTATGTGTTTTCACTTCCCTAACATGATAGTTACCTAAGCTGCTTTTTCAAGTCACTCATTTGTGGACATTCATGATTATTATGATAATGTAAATTCTCCACAATCAACATATTTTGATCGACATCCCTTATTCTCAGACAGAATATCATAGTAATGTGAAAGGGTGCGTCCAAGCATGCTACTTTTGGGGTTTGCGTAGACAGGTAAAACGCACATGCTGCAGCAGTAGTATATATTCATACGTACATATTGTTCTGTTTTATGTGTGTGTTAGATGAAGGAGAGAGAGGTGGATGTGGTTGGACTGCGAGCCACACAGGACTCTCTGAAGGGAACCTTGGCTCTGAAGGAGAAACACACACAACAGCTGCTCCACGACAACACGCAGCTCAAAGAAAGCCTGTCTTCACTGCAGAGCAAAGTAGGTAACACACACACACACACACACACACACACACACTCACTCTCTCTCTCACACACACACATATGAGGGGGCGCTCTTCTTAAATACGGAACAGAATTGGGCAACCTTTCTCTAAATCAAATCCAGTCAGGTACAAGGGGGAATTCTCCTCATTTTTTACTTCATTCACAGTTAATCATCCGTCCTTCTTCACCCCCCCCCCCCCCCTCCTCCGCCTTCCCCCTCTCGCCCTCTCTCCATATTTAATAACTCATCGCCACCATCTTAGCTCCGCAGAGGGTTGTACAATAAAGAACCATGTTCGTGTGAATATCACTTAGCAGAGAGAGTGGAGGATGGGTTAAATGTTTTGGTTTATTTCTTTGGTCTTTTATCTTCTTATTCTTCCTTGCTTTCTTGTCCTTCCTGTCTCATCTCCCTTGTCCAATCTCACCCTCGCCCCAATGAGAACCAATGGTAATGCATGGGAACATTAAAGAGTCATAGGCATGATGAATGGAATGGCCTTTAGGTTTCTCTCGTTGTCCTTTTCCTCTCCTTCTTATAATTTCCTCCCTCTCTGTCTCACTCTCACTGTATTCTCCTTATTTTCCTCCTTCTCTCACCCCTCTAGGTATATCAGCGCCGAGCGTGGCGGTGATGTGTTTTAAGCTTAAATGAACCCATTTACTGTGTCCTTGACCAAGCTAAGTCATTCATCTGCTGGTGTTTCAGAGTTGCGGGTGCCCGGCAGCCAACTAAATAAAGTATATTCAACATAAAGCGTGTTACTTGACTTAGGGAACACTTGAAAGACTCTCTTAGATGCCGACTCTATGCCTTTACTTTTCTAACACTAAATTAATTTCCCTGTTACCTCACTGACATCATTGATGTATTCTGGAGGAGGCAAGCAGATTGAAGGCAAGCATTTTATTCTATTTTCCCATTTCTTCAAGTACTTGAGCTCACCTTGCATACTCTGTGTCACAGGTGTGAGTGTAGTAAATTGGTTTCCATTATATTTTACTGATCTAATGCTTGTGTATATCAGTCTATATTATTCTGACTATACAAGGAGTGACAAAGTTCAAAATTAAAGGGATAATTCACCGAGAAAACGTTGTATATCAAGTACTCATTCTGCGTTACCTTGGCTTCTTCTTTTTCTTGCAAACCTTGACAGTGAATGAAGAATACAAAATCAAAGAAGATTCCATATGAATGAAAGTAAATGGGTATTATAAAAGTCTCATTTATAATGTTGTATGGCTATTACTTCCAACATATATGCCTATTTTTCTAAAACATTATTATTTAAAGCATCATCTGTACACTGTATACCAAGGCGGTTTTGCCATCACTTACTGTACGGAGGCTCAGTCACTGGTACATGTTCATTTACAAAGCCATGTTGGATAAACTACCATCTTATATCTGCTCCCTGATCTCTCGGCGAATTGAAAGTAGTTATTGCCTGAGATCGCATGCTGTGGTTTTATTAAATGTGCCAAGTGCTAGGACTGTCTTAGACGCTTGTGCAGCTCCACTGACTTGGAACAGTCTGCAAAAAGAATGGAAAATTACCAATCTGGTGCCACTACATGTTTTTAAAGCTCGGTTGGATGCTACACAATCAGATGCTGTTGGTACCTGTACATGTGGATAGGTATGTAAATTGTAATCCCTGTAATTTTTGCTGTATGATGTCCTTTTGTTGTTCTGTTGTTTATGTTTGTATGTCTTCATGTGGAACCTACTGCTGCAGGTCTCCCTTGAAAAAGAGATCAATGATCTCAATGGGATTTCACCTGGATAAATAAAGGAATTGAATTGAAAGCACAAAGAAGTCTCAGGCATGCTACTCATTAGTGCTAATATCTTTTATGCAGATGTATTTTAAAAGTATGACTCAAGCTAAAAAGCAAGGTGACTGTACATAGGATTTCCAGCATTATTTAATTGTAGTGCAGGTGGTTTAAAGAAATGTGGTTCTTTCCAAGGACCAATGCTAACAATAGCATAGTGTTTCTCTTCTCTGATGTGGAGCTCAAAGGAAAAAGGACCCCTGCTCTCAGCGTGTCTTGTCCTAAGGTTTAAGATTCACTACAGTTTGTGTCCTACGACTTTATGATCTGTAGTCAAGTTGTTTTATTGGTCTTGAGTCAAAGCGGTAACTGTATGGTTCCCCTGCCTGGCACAAAGCCTTTATGATGTGCCTTTCACCGCTATGGAGACAGAAGGATGACAAACTTCCCCTAAATTACACCATCATGTCCTTCTCCTGCTTGTATCTTGTAACCGTTGTCCATTCTTCTCTTTGTGTGCCTCTCTTCCTCAGCTCTCACTACAACTAACTGTCCCTCTCACTGCGTTTGGAGGAGGTTAGAAGCACACATACTGTACTTATTCTTCATCTTTCTGCCCTCAGTTACAAACGACAAGTGAAACCCTGGATCAAACCAGGAAGAGTCTGGACACGGAACAACAGCAGATCCAAGAGCAGTTGCACCATGCCAACAAAGCGAGGAAGCATCTGCAGCAGGAGCTAACACATGCACGTCACACCGCTGAAAAGAAGGTAATTGGTTTCTACCGAAAGGTCTTCATTCAAATATTAAACTAAATCAACGTATTTTAGTTTCAGACGAGCACATTTGACTTCCCGGTTTTCGGCCATGTATTGTTGACACCGTTACATTATCAGCAAGTTCGTTTGCTCACAAGGTCAAGAAACATTCTCGACACAGAGTGGACAATGTCAGGAAGAAACGGTTAAACAGAAATATTCCACAGCATGGAGATGAAATATAATATTCACTTTAATGTAATGCATTGTCTTTCCCCACAATGGGGCTGATAAGAAGGGTCGTGCAGGTGACGGATTCATTTAAATATTCAATTTTCAAATGTAATATTCACTGTGACAGGCATTGTCTATTCCTACAATGCTGCTGATAATAAGGTTTGAGATAATGTGTAATGGGATGTTCTGATATTTAGAGCCTTATTAAAAACACACTTTTGACGAACTTGTCATACATTTGGATTGTTCTGCAGAAATTAGATTATTTTCCCAAGCTAGGACTTACTCAAACATCGCATATGGTTTATTGCTTGTTAGACTTTTTTTATGCTCTGCCCTTTTTGTGATATACCCAAAGCATATGTTAGCGCTCAGTGGTTTTTAATTTAACCTTCAAATAACCAGGTTGGAAAGATATTTTTCACTAAGCCATCTGTGAATTTTAAGGGCTTGGATTTGTAAAAGAAAAGCAGCACACAAGATACAGTTCATGCAGTTCACTGACTTCAATTCAGAATATTTCTGCGGTTAGGGTAAGGGTCAGGATTTAGTTGGCTTTCACTGAGGCTATTGTTACAGCAGTCTCACAGTTTATAGCGTGCTCATTTATAAGACCTACATCCTTTGTTGCTCATGTTATATGACAGCAAATGTGCTTTGATAAAGTAACATATTTTAATTAAACATTTTAGAGCATATTTTTGACCTCTGGTGTAGTGAAATGTAATTATCCTGCAGAATAGGAGCATTAAGATTTCACAAGGCTACTGTACAACCATGCACGATTGGTCAAATCCTCATTTATCCTTGTGTGTACATGGTATATAATTAGCTATACTTTATGTATGCATGCACGTGTACTGTATTTGTGTGTGTGAAGTTGTGTGTTTCATGTTTGGATTGCTTAAGCCATCAGATGGACCATTACACTCTGTCCAGGGATCTGGTTTCTGCTCCACATCTGGCCCTGCTTTATGCACCACAATGCTCCTTCTCTGATCTATTACAAGCTCGCTCTCACACACACACACACAAACACACACACACACGCACACACACACGCACGTACGTACACTTCACTCCAATTTTGTACGGACAGTGGTAGCAAGAGAGTGTGCTGCTCCCACTTGAATCTACTGTAAGAGAAGCTGAGAGAACTTTTGTGCTAAGTATTTTCCTCTGCAGCGCTAAATGTCACATTAGCACAGCTGAACAAATACTGTCAACACCCTCTCTTCACGTGAAATGTGCTCTGCTCATTCTCTCCCGCTCTCACTTAGGAGGAAGAATGGGAAAGCAGTTTGCTTTTTCTGGAGAGTAATCCACTTTTAATTTGAGTTTTTACATCAAATTCAATGAAACTGCTTGAAAAGTAGAGGGGGTTTGAAGTAGGAAGGAGGAAGCATTGGTCTTACTTGAGTTCAAGGGCGTTTTAGAAATCAGTGCAAAAATGTTTCTATATTTCTTTTTCTCTTCGTTATCATTGATGGCTCTCGGGATTGGATCATAAAAAAAAACACACTTGACCAAACATGGAATTTGATAATCAGAGCATGAACAGTCCATTAGTTAGAAAAGGAAAAATGTGACAAATTCTTATATCTTCTTAATCCCTTTATTCGTCATTTATCTGTATCTTTTTACATGTTCTCCATCTCCTCTGTAACTTCACACATATTGTCGTCATGCAATGGCCACATGTTGCCGTAGTTTTAACATGTGGTTAAACTGTTCCAAACTCCCCCATTGTGGACCTTGAAAGAAGTGAAGCCATTAACATGACGAGGGGCTTTGTCTCCGAGATGATCCGCTTCATCTCAGAAAACCTAAAGTCACTTAGTTGCACGGTTCTCTGGAGGCTTCTCTTTTAAATGTGCAAGTCGTAAATGTATACAGGAGGAGGGGGAAGGAGGGATAGAGGGAGATGGATGGATGGATGGATTTAGTGTGAGAAACTTGGAAAGGGGAGGTTGCAGGATGTAGGGAGGAAGGGACGTTCAGATAAAGGGAGATAGCCAATGGGTTGAGATTTTAATTCATAACAGACTGATCTCTGGTCAGGAAT